TCTCAATATTGACTGAATGCTACAGTAACGCCGGGGACACACCGGCCGCGGAAGCGCCACGAAAATGGGACCGCCTTCATTCGGCGCCCTTGTAAGCTATTCTATAGACCACATCGGCCACCGAAGCGCCGCGAATCGCGCTCCAGCCCGTACTCAAGCCCGCGCCGTGCAGCGATCATTTCGGCGTCGGCTCTATTTTTTTCGCGAGCCGCGGGTGAATCGCGTCAATTCTGGCAGGAAGTCAAACCTAGACATAAGAGGCAGGCCGGTAAAGTTAACAAAATAAAGCATTTCAAAATAAAATTCCGCAATAGTCAAATGTGTTCGTAATCACACACTGCAGAAAAACCAAACGAACAAACACATACACACACATCGAACTTGTGTGCGTGTGTGACTACGTGAAGGGGGAGTGGTTTTGGGTGTCTTTTTTCCGGAGCAAACAGGACAGAGAGGCAGAAAGCCTGAGGCAAGCAGTTAAGATGGATGACTTTAAATTAATTATGGAAGTTGAGAAACACAAGGAGCTGTACGACCCCCGAAAAACATGCTTATTTACGCACCCATTTCGGAAGAAACTGCTAGGATACAGCTGCAGAATTGGAGCGGGTTCCAAGAGATTCAACTGACAGAAACAACTGGTTCATACCATAGGTTCACACCGTATATATGTCGATGGTTCACACACACACACACACACACACACACACACACACACACACACACACACACACACACACACACACACACACACACACAAAACACACACACGTACAAACACTCAAACGTAGAGAAAAAGAGCTGAGAAAAGGCAGAGAGGAGATGGAGGACACCAAGTGTATAAAAGAAAAACTACAGCTAAGTTGAGGCGCGCCTCGACTGGGGCGCGTCTGATCTGGGCGAGCAGCGGCCGAATTTCGTGAGCGATTCGTTCCTGCCGAACGGTGTGGTTTCAAGGTTCAACGGCAGTACCCGCAACGTCCAGCAGAGGGCAGACGTTGGTCAGGACTTGAAACGGATCAAGGCAAAGTAAAATGGAAGACTTGCAGGCTGCAACAGTGAAACGGCCCTAACTGAACAGATTACAACTCTGCAAAGGGAAATTCAAGACTTAAAGGACTCACTTCAGGATGAAAGTAATGTGAGACAGGACATTAAAGATTCAATCAAATGCAAAGAACAAATGATAAGTGAACTTCAGGAAACAGTGAGAGCTCCTAGACAGACATGCTACTCAGAGCGCCATCTTTCCGCTCCTCCTTAGCATGGTTAACTGACACCGTGACTCTGTGTGGTAGGAGCGTGATAGAGGATCTGTGTCTGTAGCGTTACAAATGGTAGAAGACAAAAGCCTAATAAAGGTGTGGTGTGAACCACTACTGCCTCCTGCTGGTTGATTTGGGGACTATAAACCTGCCGCTGAGACGCTGGGGTCGCTACAATGTGTAATAGCAAATAATTTGGTGAGAGTATAAAGGTGAATGAAAAGGTGAACTATATCTTTATGTTTAACAACGGCAAAAGTATACGGGCGTTAA